CTAAATGTGATAAGAAATAGTTTCCAGACATGTTAAAAATGTAGAAATAAATAAAAAAACATTACATTTCAGCTATTTTATTTATTATTATAAATTATTATGCATTTATTATAGATTTTGTCTGTATACTGTCACAGCTATTATGATACATCTCTTATGATACCATAATATGATACCAAAATACTGTAAATACTATAGGACATTATACTATTAAAAACTAATGAATAAATATTGTAATTTTTGGGTAAATAGTTTCTAGAATTAGAATGATCTTTCAAAGTACTCCAATGAATTCATTCATTTAAAGCACTGTTAACTTTTTTGGCCAACAGAAATCTGATGAAACAAATCAAAGTAGATGAAGATGCAAATACACAGAAGAATCTAATTATGTCCTGTGGTAAGCACATTCAAAACTCCTAATTTTGTGGTAAAATCACAGAACGGTACAGCGTCTTACAGCAATTTTCACACTCAATGTAGTTGGAATGAACTGCTTCTAAACTTGAATCAATCGCATGAACCTCAAAGCATCACAACAATCAAAAACACCTGAAGATCAGCTCTTCAGTGAACATTAAACTAACACATAAGCATATGCAGTGAGGACCTGATTATTGGATTCAAAATCTATTTTAAATCTGGAACAAACTTACACTTTGAAATATTTAAAACAAGAACATTTATGACACTAAATAAATAAAACTTTTAAGATTCAGAAATATTTTTCAGGTCACTAATCATATTTGTGACATTGACTGTGGTAACTATTATCATAATACAAAATGTATAATATCACTGTTAATATTATTGGTTCATTAATTGTTCATGTTTTGTATTTATCTTCAAAATCATCTGCTTAATAAATAATCTATACTTTTCTGCAGTTGCAAAGGCTTTAACCAATGGCAGAGCAAAACATGAGAAGCAGTAGATGATATCGTCACACAGAAAGCAGGAAGTTCCAGTGTGTTTGAGTGTGAAACTGCAGAGACTCACAGTAACACAGATCTACAGCTCAGGGCACAGAGAACATTAACACACACCTGATCTGGCCTAGTCAACATGGAAAAACACCTGTTTCTCATTTTAATTACGATTTCAGGTATAATTGATTGATTTATTTTTATTACAGTGGTATTAATGAGATAATTTGAGATTTTTAATTAATTTATTTTTTTTATTTTAGGTGCGATGACTGCGGACCAAATTTGGCCAAACAAAGATGCTGTTGTCATAAAGGAAGATGAGACTGTGGCCCTCAGCTGTTCATATACAAGCAGTGGTTATGTGTATTGGTACAGACAGTATCCTAACAAAGAGCTTCAATATTTAATATATTCTTCACAATCAAGTAGTGGAAGGTTTCGTATGACTGAATCACAATCATCCACTGAACTCACTATTACTGGTGTAACTCTGTCAGATTCAGCTCTCTATTATTGTGCTCTAAGAGTAGCAGCCCAGTGATACAAAGTCTGTGTGAAGCCGTACAAAAACTCAAATTTATTTTTCACTTTGATGGCAAGTCACATCAAGCCCACAATCTATAATTCACACAATATTATTAAACTTGTGGAAACACCTGTGTGTGGTTACTGAAAGGGTAACGAAAAGGAAACAAAATATAGCAGAATAATTCCCAACTTCCTTACAGTACATCACACATCTCTTAAATACATTTTTCCAGTGATAAATCAAATTCTTCATTCAGTGCAAACTAAATATGTCCAGTATGTCCTGATTCCCAATTTTAATTCTTATGTATTCTGACATTGATCTGACATTAGTTACAGTTTGTGAATATGTTACAACTGAATTTAGTTTAAATTATTACATGGCTGGGTTCTTGTTGGTCAGTCACAACATTCCAAGGTGTGTTATTCCTCAATAACAATTTTAGTCATTAGCAACAGCAAATAACACACCGCTCATCCAGGTACTTTCATGTCTTTCATATCAGGGGTGCTCCGATCAGGATTTTTGAGGCCGATCACAGAAAGCAGTATCTGCCAATACGATCACCGATACCGATATTTTTAATGCCTTCTTTTTATAATTTATAACTATTTATAGTGATGCTCCAATCAGGATTTTTAAACATTTATTCAGGGCCTGAATTTCATTTTTGAAAATGGGGGAAATTCCCCTCTTAGGTGTCTCTTGTGAGAGGGGAAGCAGCTTTCACACAGGAGTCCGCTACCGATACGTGGCTGTTTACCACAAACACAACATTTATCCATTATTTTGATTTCAAATCCAAACATTGTCACTGAAAATGATTTTTCAGCATTGCAATTCTTTTTTTACACAGTACAGTAATACAATCTTTCACAGACATGTTTAAACAATAAATATAAGCAACACATTATTCAATGCTTTTTACTTTTGCATTTACTTATAGATTTATATATTAAGTTGCTCAAGCAAGTGGCAAAACATTTAAACTACTTTTCTTACATTATCACAAACTTACCATTGACAGAAACAGTCAGCTCTAGGCCTACTGCCTTTCCCTTTGCATTGAAATCTTTATTACAAGCAATCCTGCGGTTCATAAAGAACTTAATTGTTTTCCTACGAGTGCCGTCTATTATTGCCTTGTTTATCTAAAAGTGCTCTTTCCCTTTAAACCTATAGCCAAAAAGCCGTATGTGTTGACTGTGAGTGCATTTATGGTGTAATTACCACATTTTCGTGTCAATCCATGTTCATATTTACTGCAAACAATGCGCTGTTACTTCGTGGTTGGATCCAGATCCAACTCATCCCACCTTACATATACCTAAACCTACCTGTCTCCACCCCCTGATTCCTAAACACACCCATCTCCACCACTAAACCTACCAATATCCACCCCTTAATTTACCAATCTCCACCCCCTAGATGTGGATCCAACCACGCCCCCTGGATCTGAAATTCTGTTAAAATATTCTCCTTTTTTAACTTAGAGCAACAATGGCAAAGTGGGTGATTATTACTTTTTTCTTCACTGCTCATGAGTTTGGTAAGAACATTATTTCATTATTTACACTTTATCTTTTTGTGAGATACTCAGTGTCAGTACATGAATAATGGGTAAATCTATTTTCCAGTGTGCTGGGGACAAGACAAAGTTGAACAAGCTTCAAGACATATAACCCACTGACCACCTGACTCGACAGTATGTTACATTATGTTAATCCTGATACACCCAATTATAAAGGATGTTTTAACCATATTCATGTCACTTTTGCTGCTGTGAATAACTGTTTTAGTACCACCAAAAATAAATTGCATACCTAAATTCATTATGTGTTTATAATATGCACATCTAAACAAAGAATATAAACAGAGAACTTTAACAAGTATGAGGAATTATTCCAAATCATATTCTGTATATTGAGATCTGAGGATTTCTATCACACGACAGAGTTAGTAAGGAACCACAAGAGGGTACAATAGGACATGAATAGTAATCGAATGACTCATCTCTCTCAAAGAGCTCTCTGGAAGAGGCGGGGTTTAAAGCACTGATACCTGATGCGATCTTGTTAAACTTCTGTTAGAGAGAGCATAAGAAACACACACAATGAATCTCCATTCTGTCATTCTGCTTTCTGTCTTTGCATGTAAGTATTGAAGTGTTTAGTGATTTGCATCTAAATTATGTATAAAGTGTATTCCTTTATATTGTATATTGCAATACACAGTTCATAAAAGATTTGATCTACATTTGCAGATGCAACGTATGGAAATTAAATGAAACCTACCAAAACAGAGGAGTTTGCTGACGAGGGTTCAAGTGTTAAATTATCCTGCAGTTATACATCTGCATACTATCTTCACTGGTACCGTCAGTATCCCGGATCACCTCCAGAGTTCATTGTGCTCATCTCAGACAGTGCAAAAGAAGATCAGAAGTCTAATGTAGATTCCAGATTCACTGCTAAAGTCACTAAAGACAATAAAGAAAACCACGTGGATCTGGAGATCACCTCTGCATCTATATCAGTACTACTGCGCTCTGGAGCCCACAGTGACAGGAAACACAAGAACACTGTACAAAAACCTTCTACAAATTAGACTGGAACACATCACAATCAAGAGAATTACATTCCCAAAATATCAACTCAGACACTGGGAACAAAATCTGATCAAATGCATTCAAATACCGATGTTTAAAATAAGTTATAATAACTTTGTAAAAGGGTACATTTAGAAAGAAAATAAAAGAAATGAAAAGAAAAGAAACCACGTGATGGCAATATGTACCATATATTCATTTGATCTAATTTCAGGATCACTAGCTCCTCCTTGCTTTAAATAACAGTTCTCTCATTCACAAATGTGTTTCTCTACCTCTTTCATTAATCTACTGTCTGTACAACAGACAATTTGGCATTTTAAAAAGTAAAAAAAAATAGGTAAATTATTTAGAAAAAAATGGGACAAATAATTGCATAATAATGTAGTCCTAATTTAAGCAAATTAATGAATGGGTGTCCCATTTTGCCTCGCTGAAAGTGGCAACCCTATTTGCAAAGGTGTTTACATTGAATTCAAACCAGCGTTTAAATTCAGCGTTCAAACCAAAGTGCTAAGGGTAAAAGGATGGAAAATTTCCATTTATATCTAAATTATGACAATTTTTTTAATGATAAAACCATACTATGATTATAAGTGCACCTCTGGAAACACATTTTATGGCACCTTTAAATTAATGTGACTTTCAAAGTATATTAAGCATACTAATAGTGCTTATTACAGCAATACAAAAGTAGCCTACAGTTAATGTTTATGTGTAACACATTGTGTCGGTATAATGTGCCACAAGATGGCAGTGTTCTCAGAGATTCACTATAACTGCATCAATGAACATCAGAATTTAATTTATAGAACTGAACTTGGGTATAATGTAACTCAGAGAGGAGGGACTCAGTGTTCACAGATCTGACATGATCTAACCGTGTCTCACAGAGACTTTCAGTCTGACTCTTTTCAGAGTGAACACTTGTACAATGGATCTTCATTCAGTTATTCTGTTCTGTGCCTCAGCAGGTACTAATTTGGTGAATTTAATTTTTTTTCTGTTTCATTTAAAACATTTCAATAAGAAGAAATGTTTTCTTTTTCAGCTGCGGTCTTTGGAAATGTCATCAAACCAAACAACACCGATGTTGTTTATGAGGAGGGTTCAAATGTTACATTATCCTGTAGTCATTCACCTGCAGCTACAGATTATATCCACTGGTACCGTCAGTATGGAAGATCAAGACCTGAATTTCTTGTACTCACCTACGGTAGTGCAAAAAAAGCTGAGGTGTCTGATGTAGATCCAAGATTTTCTGTTAAAGTTGAAAAAAGGGAGAAAATCCATGTGGATCTGAAGATCTCCTCTGCTGCTGTATCAGACTCTGCTCTGTACTACTGTGCTCTGGCGCCCACAGTGACAGGAAACATGAGAACACTGTACAAAAACCTGACACACAGCATTGCATCTACATCACACATATCCAACCTCCAGATCTGCTATAGGTAACATAAGGACACACGTTGCTTCTAATCAGCAAAAAGTAGTATTATATACGTGGATTGTCATTCACAACATTAAAAGTCATAATAGAAAAGGAGACATACAAATATTCACTTAAAAGACGCTTCACTTAAAAGAAGAGATCAAACTCATAAAATCATAAAAAATCAACTTTAGATGCATTTATTCAGTTACTTCATTCTTACTTTATTCAGTTATTAAAATTAGTGAGTAAATAGCTTTAAATTATACAGAGGCATAACATAAATATAGTGATGATCAAGAGTTTGTTCAAAAACACTATTTATACCAATCTTACCTTTATAAAGAATTGTTCAGGGTTTGCAGAATAACATAATGTTTAGCAATTTCAAACTTCATCCACAAGGGGTCAGCATTGCTCTCTCCATTTATGAGTAATGAGCATACAATGTGACATGATACAAACATTTAAAGAGCAACTCTGTGAGATGTGCCCAATGTTTTCGAAAGCAGAGTTGAGTGAATTTTCTGTTCTTTTACCTCATACATCAACTATGTTTAAATGGACTTTGATTTCTATATGCTTCATAGTACTTTTTGATGGTAAGCACATTTGTTTCTGCATAATTAAACAGAAAAAGGTTTACTTAAATATAAGTTACTAAATGTTTACACTTACCTTCCAAATAATTTATGCTAATGATTTACTTTTTCTGTCTATTTTTCCAGTGTCTTCGGGACAGGACAGGGTTGAACAGTCTTCAGGAGAAATGACTGCGAGTGAAAGAGATCATGTTATTGTAGGGTGTAATTATTTTACCACTGATACAAACCCATACCTCTTCTGGTACCAACAGCTTCCAAACAGATCACCAACATTAATTCTGGGTCAATACACCACTGAACCTGATTTTAAGAAGAGATTTTCTGCAACATTGAACTCTACATCAAAAACAGTTCCACTGATGATCAAGGATGTGCGTGTGTCTGACTCTGCTGTGTACTACTGTGCTCTGAGGCCCACAGTGACAGGAAACACAAGAACACTGTACAAAAACCCTGTAAATAAATAGTACTGGAATGTTTGGCCATACATAATCCACAGGGATTGATTCATAGGCTTATAAATTGATCCTGATAGACTTTGTGAAAAAAGTTGCTTTAACCATGGCATGCAAATCTCTTCCACTTCTCTACCACTACAATAACATATAATTGTATTATATGTTATTGTAGTGGTAGAGAAGTGGAAGATATATATATATATATCCA